ACTTCGCAAATCAGCGGTACGATATCACAGACACGTCTTGAGCATCTATGGATTGAAACGATCCCGAAAAAGGGGCAATAGTAGTAATGCCACCCCGTACTGACGTAAAAGGAGTCATTCGCTTGAACGAAATGGTCAACTACCTGTGTCGCTTTTTATAAAACTGGCAGAAATAATGACGCCTATACGCAAACTGACGTATGAAAGAGGAGACTGGCACGGGAACAATGAACAAAAAAGCCTTCAATCGATAAAAATATCTGATCGCAACTGTTTCAATACTCGCTCACTTTGATCCATCTCCGCCTCTCGAAGTACAGTGCGATAACAGTTAGCATGAAACTAGGGAGGTGTTAATGCAAAGTGAAAAACTTCTGGATTATCAAAGTTTACTTTTAACATTAGCTGAACGTTATTATACACAAACTGAGAAGGAAATGCTTGCAATCACTTATGCGGCAGAACGCTTCAACGACAATACTTTTGGTGAAAGCCCACTGTAGTTGCAGATCACAAGTCATTGGTATCAATCGTTAAAAGGCAACTTCATGTTGTGCCCTATAGTTTACGGAGGGTGCTCATCCGACTTCTTAAATATGATTTGGAAGTCGTCAACTGGCCTGGGACAAAAATGAACGTCGCAGACGCGTTGTCGAAAGCTCATCTTTCGGATGAGGATACAATGTAAAAGGACCTTGGCACGATTCAAGCGACCCAGCAACTTGCCGTCACCGGAGAGCGTTTATAGCAAACAGAGAGGTTACACGGACGAAGATGCAGTTCACAAAAGTCTAGAACGAAAAATCGCTGATAGATAGTAAGATGATAAGAGGAGTTTGCTGGCGAAACTGACACCATTTTTCTATTTTCCCGATGAACACGTTGTACAAGACGGTTTGATCTTCAAATGAAATCAAGTGTCAATCCCAAAAGCGATGCAACGCACCATGCTGGAGATGATTCTTGGAGCACACGAGGGAGTGAATACTTGTGTCGCACGATCCAGAGAACTAGTGTTTTGGCGGGGAATGGCTAGTCAGATCCGGGACTACTTGTCCAGCTGTCCACCCTGTCGTGCACAAAACGTTGGACAAACAAAAGAAACAACGGCGTCTCGAGAGATCCCGGAAAGACCATGGTAAGTGGTAGTTGACCTGCTCATGTACGACGGAAATGATTACCTAATCGCGGTAGATTATTTCACTGCCTATTTTGCGATCTGTGCAATGCCCTCAACCAGTGCTCATGTGGTGGTAAACAAGCAGCGCGGTCATCTTGCTCGACATGGAATACCTGAGGAAGTCGAATCAGACAACGGACCGCAACTCACTACTGTGGAGTTCTGAGCTTTCAGTAAGAAGTGGGAATTTGATCGCCGCGTCACCAAGCCTTAGCACAGCCAGTCAAACGGAAAGGCTGAAGCAGCAGTGAAGGTTAGTTAAAGCTAAACAGCTGAACGAGGACCCATATAGCATGTTTCTGGAGGGAAGAAACAGTCTCCGGCAACCGGAATGCCCTCTGTTCAATTTTTTTCATTTGCAGACAGAGAACTTTGTCACCTGTGGTCAAAACCCCGATCTAACCGGAAGCACAATCCCCGGCGATGATGCAGGACCGTGCTGAAAAGCAGGTGTTTAGGCAGAAACGGTATTATGGTCGTATATCTGAAGACTTACCACCAATTTGGGTTGGTGAAGTGGTTCGGATACAACTGGCGCCTTGAGCAATAAAACAGTGTATGAGATTTAGTTATGGAAACGTGCATAGCAGAAAGAAGTTATTTGATCAATTTGCGTAACAGTTTGTGCTGGCGAAACCACATTCCCCTGAGACAGAATCCGCCAGGGGGTGTGATCCCTAGCGGGCGAGAAAGCCAGCAGAAAATCAGAGATGACGGAGAAGACAGAAATAGGATAAGCAGCGGATGAGCCAACGGAATTTCAAGGCCGAAGGAACTCAAACTGAAGAAAGCAGGGGTGTGGTATGAACATGGTAATTGCAGCTGTTTATTTTCGCCTACTCATTCGGAGCCGACAGGTAAGAGGCCGCTCCATCGACTATCCGCCACCAGTCGAGCAACAGCGCCTACGTACGTGAGCGGAAAGCGCTCTGTAAGCCCGCACGACCAACTGGCTCGATCGTTGCAAAGTTTCCCCCAGAGACAACGAATCTGAGAAGAGCAAACCTGGCTCGCTTAACGGAGTTTAGTTAACACTATAAATAATGCGCTACATTCTGATCCAAATCGATTCTGATCGTAGCCCAGTCTTCGGTTTTGTTTCTCGGAGGACACTACATGACAAAAACCATTATTCTTATAAGCACTTCAGAAACAACTGTGCTAGACACAAATCAAGTAAATTGTCTTTTGGGACTACGCACTTGTGTCAGATCTAGTAGAGCAGGTATCCTCTCACTCACACTTAGAACCGCAGTTCATGCTACCGACCTAGTTAGGAAGCAAATTGCTACTAAGGTAAGTGAGGGAATCACATTACATGCAGCGGAATGTTTACAATTTTCTCAAGTTAACGTTTTGCTCGATTCTGTTAAACATCGCATTGGTGAAGTTTTCTAACGTATATCTGTGGTTGTATCGGAAGATAAACATACTTCAATCACTTGGCCCTATACAAATTATGCAGACAGAATTCGAATGTTAGCTGAATGCACACTGGACATTAATTCATTGTTTCAATTCTTAGGTATCAGCTTTTCCTTTCTCTATCGTTTGTTTTTTTACATTTGTTTAAGCACATCATTACATCTTCGGGTTTTGGAGCACCCACAGTATGTCTTGGACTGCGACACGCACTCTCGATCGTGGCCTCGGTTGACCTTGAAGTCAGCCTGTGCCAATCCGGTCACTGGGACCGTCACTGAAGTGGAGGGTTTGGGTGTGGCTCTCTCCCATCCTTACACTCCACGACTGACGGTTTCGTCTTTGTTTGGTCTCATCAGGTAGAGATGGCCGAGGTGGGAGTGGAACTCGGCGCATAGTGCTTGGCGGCTATCGTCATGATCACTAGACCATTGCGCACCGCGAGCGGTGCTTAACACAACGGTTAGCAGCTGCGCATCTCTGCTCCGATGACCCACACCCTGCAGCTGTAAGTTTTAGCAACCTTAAAGGCTCCACCTTTCCAAATCCAAAAACCTCGTACTGCCGGTCATCTGTCAGCCGACCCCACCGTAGCTGCTTCCGCATTCATCATCCAGGCAAGCCTCGCTTGCAGTCGCACGAATGTACAGGACCTCTAATCCAAACTACCGGAACTCCAGTCTCGATTTTTGCCAACGCCAGCGGATCTAATAGCGCGAACGAAAGCAAAACTGTTCGGCGACATCACTGACTGTGAAATGCAATCTTCTGATATGTCAGCCCTCCGCTCCGGCAGCGCAGCCAAAGGAGGCAGTGTCGCATTGTATTTCGACACCTCTCTCAGTTGCACCACGGTATCAGACACTACTTTGCAGTCTGTCGACACCATGCGGTGCGAGGTAGTACCAACTTCTGTTGTATTGGTGTTAGTTATCTCCTTCCTAACAACGCATCCGTGAAGGACGCAAAACTCTTGCACGACATCCAGCTTGCTCTATCCCAACAACAGAAATGTCTTATGACGTGGAAACTCGACTTCACTCGTCTATTTCGCTCCATTCCGACGACTGACTCCTTTGCGTCAACCCGCATTGATCTTCACACGGCCCCGTCGTACAACCACACCTACAAGCCGACCAGATTCTGAACCAACAGCCAAATAACAGCAACTAACCATTCCTTCCGGATTTCATTCATACCAACAAAGGACAAGGTTGAGCCCATCGAATATGATGTCGCTCCGTAGCTCTGCAATCGCTACATCCTCCGTTTCGACTTTATACTTTGCCGGCAAATCCGTCAACAAGCTGCTTTATACCAAATGCTGGACTGATTATGAAAAGTTGAACACTTTCATTTCCGCAAATAACTGGTCACCCGAACCTCACTTGAAGATTGACAGCGTGTGGTCAACCTTTTGCTTTACCCTGCGTGAACCGTACTCCAAAACCACAATATTCAAACAAGTTTCCATAAGGTAGCAAAGCTTCACATCCACGCAAACTTGTACCCGGAAGTGATTTGCGCACCCGGACAAGGCCTGGACTAAGTATCGTTACCGTTCAGCAGCTACTCACTGAGAAGCCTACCGGCTTCTCCGTAACTAATACGTTCAGCTTGTACGTGAAGAGAAGAGTGAGCAGCAGCGTCAACTTGTGCGCAAATTTTCATCCAATTCCCAAACTATGTACAGTTTCCCCAATCGCCTTCGGCATGACGAGCACAGTATCACTGCGCTGACAACCCCCACAAGGCTCACGAAATCAGCGAACGAGGCCACAGAAGTCCTGTACTAGCTGTACGCATCTGAAGCATCAGTTCCATAAGTCCCTACAACGACGACGCCTTCTCCGATCTCACCACCAACATCCCTGACAACCGTTCAGTTCACTGCGGAGAATGTCTTGGTAAACTCAAATCCCTGCGGTCAACATCCCTTCAACCCAGGCGCAGACGATTTCCACCTAAGGCTTCTGCAAAAGTGCGCTACAGCTCTAGCTTTATAGCGTAACTTTTCACGCATTTCTTCTTGCATGGTGAAGTACCCAACAATTGGAAATGCGGAACAATTACGCCAAACTACAACGGCGACGCGCGTCAAGACCCCATCGATCAATAACCCTCCTCTACGGTCTCCAATTTGGTGGAATCGATCATCGCAGATGCTTTAATGGACTATATCTAGGCTCTGAAACTGCTTTCTAATTGCTAGTACGGTTTTCGCTGATGAATTTAATGCCTGAGTAACCTGCTACGCACCCGGGATTGCTGGACGATTGTTGCATCTACCGGCTTAGAAACGCACGTTATGTTCTTGTATTCTGCCGAAGCTTTTAACAAAGTCGACCACAACATTCTAACACAAGCTACTGTCATATTGTAGCGAAAACGACACGACAGGGGGGTAGACGTTTATTGCACACCGAAAATGGGCACATGAGGGTCTCACGCGCGCCATCGAATATCGACTAGATTTCCGTCCCACAACGCAACACAGGTACGGATGTTAGAGACGAGCCAGTCCTTTCGCCTCGGGAGCTCTGACTTGGAAGATCCGCCTTCCTGTTTTCGCCTCGATCCCACTTCTCTGTACCCGATTTGGATCGGCCAGGAGTCGTTCGAGAGCTCTCGACTTGCTTGTTCTGGGCTGTGTCAATCGGCTCGGCGTCGGTCCTGTGGGCTGCGCTAGCGGCGTATATGTCTGATTTATTGCGCTGTCCACATATTCCCGCTCCGTAGTTCCGGGCCCAGGCTCGTCGCTAGCCGTCCTTCTCGATCCGCTCTCAGCTCGCTCCGAAGAGCTCCCCGAGGCATTCTTGGAAGCGGCCCCTCTACACCCGCCCCTCCTCGAGGACCTTTCTTCCTCTCGTACCATGGTCGCAGGAGAGCAGCATTCACCCAACGTTTCATTCCTCCGCAGTCGATTAAGAAGTTGCCCGCTTTCTGGTCGATAATGGTGTAGGGGCCTTTCCAGCGTTCTCTGAACTTGCTTGCGCCCGGCCCGTCATGATCCGGCCGATCGTTGTTCCGTAACTTGACTCGTTCTCCAATCCTGAATGGCCTCCACTTGTGAGCTTCATGCCTGGCGTCGTAATTTCGCTTATTCCGCGCTTGTCGAGCTTTGGTTTCGCTTCTAGCTTTCCCTCGCAGTCGCTCTTGATGCCCAGCTGGATGTTTCCGCTCACCCTGGTTCGGTAGGCAAGTATCGAGCGCAATCCGTGGTTCTCTGCCGAACAGTAATTCGAATGGCGCGACCTTGGTGGTTGATTGCATGCTGGTCCGATACGCGATCAGAACCTGAGGCAAAGCATCTTCCCATGCCAACTTCGTGCAGTTCATCCACGTCTTCAATGTCCGGTTGAACCGCTCGGTCATGCCGTTGGTTTGTGGGTGGTACGGTGAAGTTCGCCGTCTCTGGATGCCCCACTTGTCCAACACTGCCTTAAACGCTTTTGACTCGAAGCAGGGCCCTTGGTCCGTGATGATACACTGTGGGATCCCATACCTTGCAGGCACATTGAATTCGAATACTTGCGACACTGTCTCGCCTGTTTGGTCCTTGATTGGTATGGCTTCCACCCATCGAGTGAAGTGGTCAATCATCACTAGAATGTATCTGTTTCCTGTTCGACTCACTGGTAAGGGCCCAAAGACGTCCAGTCCCCAACACTGAAGTGGCTCACCAACCTCCATCGATCGCATCGGCGGTCTCGGGGACTCCATCTCCCGACTCGTTTGGCAGTTTGGGCACCCCCGAATGTATGCCGCGACGTCCTTCCTCATGGTTGGCCAAAACACTCGCCTCCGCAGCAATTCAAAGACCCGCTCGAATCCCATATGGGCGCCATCATGAGTTATACGCATCACACGTTCTCGCTGATTTGGTGGAACAAAAGGCACTTTCCGTCCGTCTATCGCCACCACCACGTTATCGTTTTCGACCTTCAACCTGTCCCAGATCTTGAGGAGTTCCTCCACCTCTTCCGATGTGGCCTCCGGTTTGGTGCCAGCCTGTAAGTGAGAGCACAACACATTCACGAATTCATCTGTCCTTTGATCTCCCAGCAGGTTCCTCTCCCCCATCGCGATCGCACGCACCGGTATGGCATTGTCTGGCATGATGTCGTCCAAACACGGGCGTGACAACATATCTGGCAATACATTCTGCGTTCCATCCACGTGCTCAATGGTGAAGTTGAATTCCTGCAATCGGTAGGCCCATCGCGCAAGCCGTCCCCGCGGGTCTTTCGCCGTCATCAACCACGAGAGCGGTTTGTGGTCAGTGACGACCCGGAATTCATTCGCCAGTAAGTAATTTCTCCACTTCTCTAACGCCCACACGATGGCCAAGCATTCTTTCTCCGTTGTTGAATACTTCTGTTCCGCCCCCGTCAGCACTCTGCTCGCGTACTCCACCACCCCAGCCGGTTGAGACAAAACCGCACCGATTGCCACGTTGCTTGCGTCGACAGCCACAGTGAACCTCTCACCAGGATTGGGTAGCCGTAGACATGTCGGGGCTTCTGCTATGCATGCCTTTAGATGGTCAAAGGCTTGATCCGCTTCAGCTGTCCACACGAACGGCACGTCCTTGCGAAGCAGCTTTAACAACGGGCTGACCTTCTCTGCGAACTGGGGCACAAACTTTGAATCATATGCCACCACTCCCAAGAACGAACGGAGCTGACGCTTGGATTTTGGTTTTGCGAAGCACTTGATCGTCTCGCGTTTCTCCGGAAGTGGATGGACTTGACCATTGCCCACGATGTGACCCAAGCATACAATTGACTTTTGGGCAATCTGCGACTTTTTACGACTGAGTTTCAGACCAGCTTCGTCCAGTCTCTGCAGTACTGCTCCAAGTCTGGTCACATGTTCCTGTTCCGTCTCAGAGAAGACGATGATGTCATCACCATAAACAACCACGCCTTGCAGGTTCGCCAGGACCATCAGCAACAAACGCCTGAATGTAGCTGGGGCGTTGCACAATCCAAACGGCATTCTCAAAAACTCATACTGCTGGCCATTGACACTGAAAGCCGTCTTGTGGCGATCTTCTTCTGCGATCGGCAGTTGCCAATATCCCGAGCGGAGATCAATCAGAGATATCTGCTTGGCACTGTGAAGGCTTGAGAAAATTTCTTCCATCTGAGGCATCGGGAATGCATCCTTCACAGTCACCCTGTTTAGTTCTCTGAAATCGATGCAAAATCGATAGGTTCCGTCGGCCTTCTTCGTCAATAGCACGGGTGATGAATACGGGCTGTGCGTTCGCCTGATGATTCCTTTCGATTCCATCTCGGTCACCTGCTTCTGTATCTCAACCAGGGTGTTCTGTGGAATTCGTCTGAAGATTGGCTTGCATTGTCCTCCTGGGATCAACGGTATTCGGTGTTCAACCCAATTGCAAAATCCGTAATCATCTTCCGCGTCTGTGAATAAGTGGGCATACCTGCTCAGTACGTTGCGTATTGCACGGTTCTGACAATCAGGCACGGCTTTGAGGGCACCAACCCGGTCGGTTCTCCCCTTGTCTATCTCGATCGTATCGTTAGCCACGATCACCACATCGTTTTTCAGGTCAATTGTGACACCGAGCCGTTTCAGGATGTCGGTTCCGATGATGGTTTCGGTCGTCTCCTCCACGATGAACATGTCATGGCGGATGAGCGTTTCTCCTATCCTGATTCGTAACCGCTGCGTGCCCGTCACTTTCAAAGAATGCCCGCCGACCGTCTGCATCGTGATTGAAGATGGGTTTACTGGAACCCCGTTGAACCTCTTCGTAATTGACACTGCCGCTCCTGTGTCTACTATGGCTCGGACAGACACACCTTCTATAGTTACCTGGAGGACTGGTACTCGCCACCGACTCGGCATGGATAGAGAGAAACAATGGGGCACATTGACGTTGGTGCAGAATCTCGCCACATGACCACTCTGGTTGCATCGGAAACAGCGGCGACCGTTCCGGATTACCCGTACATTGCGTTGTGAAGTGGTGCTTGAAGACTCTATCGACAACAGCTGCTCCACCATTTCGGATAGGCGATTTACTTTCTGTTCCAACTCAGCATGCTGGATGCTTCTCACTGTCACTCGTTCCGACAAATTCTGGGCGACCGTCACCAGATCCAACGCTTTGCTGTCTCCCACCATCGACGCCAATTTCACCTGATCACGGAGTGGATCGGGCAGACTTCGGATAAACTGCTGTTTCAGTAGGCGCTCTCTTGCGTTGCCCTCTAACTCGGGGAGCCCAATCGTTAGATGTCTGTCCAGCTGCTGGAAAAACACCATCAAATCCTCCTGTTCGTCCCATCTGGCTGCGTGAAATCGTTGCAGTGCTCGTTCTCTCTCCAGATCCTTCCCAAATTCTGCACACAAGGCAGCCCTCATCTCAGCGAACGAACAGCCGGGTTTGGCCTTTCGAGTGAGCAGATACACCGCCTTGGCTCGTCCACTCAACCGTGTGCCCAAAGCAATTAGCAAATTTGCATCCCCCCTCACACCCGTGCAAGCCGCAATTCCGTCGAACTCATCGAGCCACGCCTCCACGTCACCGGCCGCAAATTGCTCCAACCGGGTCAACTCCATCGCGAATGGTCACGGCACCAGTGTAGCGAAAACGACACGACAGGGGGGTAGACGTTTATTGCACACCGAAAATGGGCACATGAGGGTCTCACGCGCGCCATCGAATATCGACTAGATTTCCGTCCCACAACGCAACACAGGTACGGATGTTAGAGACGAGCCAGTCCTTTCGCCTCGGGAGCTCTGACTTGGAAGACCCGCCTTCCTGTTTTCGCCTCGATCTCCACTTCTCTGTACCCGATTTGGATCGGCCAGGAGTCGTTCGAGAGCTCTCGACTTGCTTGTTCTGGGCTGTGTCAATCGGCTCGGCCTCGGTCCTGTGGGCTGCGCTAGCGGCGTATTTGTCTGATTTATTGCGCTGTCCACATATTCCCGCTCCGTAGTTCCGGGCCCAGGCTCGTCGCTAGCCGTCCTTCGCGATCCGCTCTCAGCTAGCTCCGAAGAGCTCCCCAGAGCCATTCTTGGAAGCGGCCCCTCTACAATATGGTATATCTGGAAACTTGATGGACTGGATCCGTAACTGTCTGTACCGCCGTACCGTCAAAGTACGCGTCGACGAAGTGAGGTCTTTCCGCATATTTGCGACAAGCGAGGTTTCACCGGGCTCTGTTCTCCGACCGGACTTTTCCTATACTTCATTGACGATGTAACAACACAAGTTGAGCCCTCGTCGCTGTTATATACCGACGACGCTAAGCTACGGTTCCGCAATTAATGTGCCACACGGAATCGGCGCATTTCATATGGCTCTCAACCGTCTGCACCAGTGGTCCCTGAAAAGCAATCCGTTTAACACTTCGAAATGTCGTCTTTTCTTCACCTGCCATTCCGCTCCTCCCATATACTTCCTGGGGGTATCTGTTCTCCAGGTCTCATCAGCCGGAAGAGATTTGAGTATCATCACTCAAACCAGTCTTTCCGCATATGGTTCTTGCCGAATAGCAGTCTCTGCTGCTAAATGCAAGATGAGATTGTTACAAGGTTCCTTCAGACAGATCGACCAGTGGAAGTTCCGCCCCATCCTAAGCGCCTTCGTGTGTCCCCTCTTGAAGTTTGCTATTCAGGCTTGGCGCCCTGATTGATCAAAGATCAGCGTATGTCTGAAGCCCCATAAAGTCAGGCGACGAAATTAATACGTCTCGGACACTTAGATTATCCACAACGGTTTCATCACCTCGATATCTCCTCGCTGAAATACCGACGTTTTATGAGCGATATGATCCTTGTGCTAATAATTCTAACTAACCCTGCACACCCCTGCCACCATTTACTCAAACTTCACCACTCATGCTCCCATCTTCGTAGTCACCGACTCGGGATCACATCTCAGCACAGTCGGCTGAACTGCAAGCGACACTTCTTCGCTCTGGGAGTCTGCGGCCGGTAGAACCCCTTGCCTGCCAACTTAGTCTCGGCATCTGTTGTGGCCGAACTCAAGACTCACCTGGATCGTCATCTGGCCGAACTGCATCGCGATCTCTCCTGAGACGACTACCTACTACTATGTGCCTTATACCCCAGACTAGCCCCAGCTAACTCCCGACCGCTTCTCCTCCGAGACAGCAACCTGTCCTACTTCTACCTCCAAACCTCCAGGTTTACATGGTAATGGAGTCCCCTCTTTATACGCTACCTTATTCTTTCCTTAGCTGTATCAGAACGCGTGGTGGGGTGCCACGCGTTGAGCTCGCGTGCATTCAGCTTACATGTCGAGTAGTCCCGAAGAAGATACGGCTAACACACTAGTCTATTCCGCTTTAAGATTGCTTGTCTTTTCATAAGATCCGACTCTATCCGACATCCTATGGGTCATATGAAGCACCAGCTTTTATTCCCATTAAACGCAATATTACGATGGATGTTAGCTCAGAGTCCCCGCTCCGTTAATCCCATTTGCTCAGACACTCATCGTTGGTTCTCACTTTTGTACCTTATCATTTTTTGTGTTATGCTCTGTCTTCTATGTTGTTTTAGCAGCTTTGCTTTATCTGCTGCTACTATACACCTCTAGATAAGTGTAACAGATTTCTCAAGTGTATACTTCGGCCCTGGCTCATTTTCAGTGTTCTTCTTGCGGTCATGGGGTGCGAGTAGTTGGCGACGAAACGACATGGAGATAAGCGTAATTGGGAATTTAAGGTTGAAAAAATATCTTAGACGTGTTTGAGTACAGGCTCGCGACTGGCTTTCAAATGAGATGTGAGACAGTTGATTCTTTTACTCTCCTTCTCCTCCTCATTCTGCAGATAAGCAATCACCGAACCAGCTAAAAATGGACAGTGAAGTTAAACGGGTTAAGAAGCAATATCTTAAACGTCCGCTTGGGTGGTTTTGTGGGGTTATCGATAAATAAAAAGCAGCAGGTTGTTTACGTTTAAAAGAGAGACTTATTATTTGTTTCGCTGTAGTCCTGCGATCCGTGGAGTTTCACAGCACAAAATTGTAACAGCAAATAAGTCCGAAGTATATTCCAGGAGTGGGATGGAGATGTAGTACTAGGTAGCAAAGTGTAGGTGAGTAAAGGAATCATCCAAACGTCTTTTAAATATTGATATTGATGTTGCAGAAATGACCGATACTTGAAGAGCATTTCACGAGTGACACACGCGGACGGAAAAGAAATGCCTGCGGCAATCCAGACAGCTGTACTGTTCTGCCAGTTTTAGTGAGTGACCTCTCAAGTTGGTATTACTGCTGAGTTGCAATAAAGAGCGACACACGGTATGTGGATCGTGCAGAATTAAGTACACCATTATCAAGTCACCACGTACTCGGTGGTAACGTCCACTGAATACCCCCAATTGTTCCAACTCCTCCTCGTGTAGAGGTTGGTGCATTCCGATAACGTACTTTATGCTCGACGTTGGGGCTGCCCCAATGACCTAAGGTCGTGTTTTAGCCATGGGTGCCTGGCTTGAATTGCATATTCGACATGAGGACGAACATACGCACTTACGCATCTGCCGGAAAATAGAGCGATCTATTTTTCCGAAAGTCCGTCGTAACAGGCCCACATGTTGGTTACCAGTTTTGGAGGCTTTCGCGGATGGCCTGGAGAAACCCAGATCATTCTGAACCAGTACGCCCAAAGTACGTTCGGTGGCTGCGCGTTGCAGCACTTGCGTTCCGAGACTGTAACAGTGGTTGCTCTGGTGTCGTATGGAGAGCCCCTTGCATTTACTCAGATTGAATTGAAGTGGATTTTGGATGGACCACTGATGTACTGTGTCTATATCACACTGAAGCATTTGCTGGTCAGTATTTCCCTGAACCTTGCGCCAAATCTTGACCTCAACCGCAAACAGCAGGAAGTTAAATGTAAGTGCCTGTGTGAGGTCATTGATAAATACCAAAAACAGTCGGGGACCTAACACCCAGCCTTGAGGCACACCATATTCAACTTGTATGGGGTCAGAGAAGGAGTTCCGAACTCTGACCACCAATTGCCGCTGAAGTAGATAGTTGGAGGTCCAGCTTAGAAGAGGGCCATCGATCCGATAAATTTGTAGTTTGGAAAGAAGTATCCGATGATCTAGACGGTCGAACACTTCGAGAAATCCAGGTAGATCACATCAACATCCTCTCCAGCGTCAGCTGACTGGGTCCAGCTACTACGTGCTAGTTTAGCAAATTCATTGTGCACGATCGATTTCGACGGAAGCCGTGCTGATCAGAAATAATAATAGTTTTCCGAATAGCCCACCAACGCATCGGTTATGATAGATTTAATCCCCTTGGACAGTATAGGGAGAAGGGAACCCGGGCAATAGTTTGAAGCCTAGGTTCTGCTTCTACCTTTGTGAATGGCTGTTATTATTCCAAGCTCTCGCATAGCAGGAACTTGGTTCTGGTCTAAGCAGCGCTGAATGAACTGAGCCAGTGACTTTGCTAGTTGACTGGCTGCTGCTCCCAGTGCATCTGGGCGAATAGTATCGACACCCGGGTATTTGTGCCTGCCTAGACTGGTCAGCTCCTGCAAGACAGCTTCACTGGTGAAGGAGATGTGAGTGAGCCCCGATAAAGGGGTGTTAAACGCTGGAGGATCTCCTGATGGTAATACCCTCTGTGAGGTGTGCGATACTACATTCACAGCGCGTTTGCTGCTTCCGTAGACGTACGTGTTTGGCTCTCGGTCGTCATGAGTGGCGGAACTCCTTGCCGCACATTCTGTAGACCAATGTCATGCATCCACAGCATTTTATGATTAGCGCTGAAGGTTTTGCTATGTTCTGCTGATGCGCGGTATTGTCGTCTCTGAGCAATTGAGTGCAGTGGTTTCTTTGGGGTACGTAGTTATTCTAGCTTTCTGGTGTTGTGGATAAGCTATACTCTCGCCACGCTACGTTGCGTACTGCCAAAAATTTTCGATTTCTGCTCCTTACCTCAGCAGCTGTTTCAGACCGTTTGTAAACTTTTGTCTCTGGAGCATCCGTAGCCAACCGAATAAATTTGTTTACGAACTTGAGCTGGACACCTTCCGGGGGTCTTCGGCAAGGGACGACCGGGTTGCTGCATTGACGAGCTGGGCTAAACAATCGTAGCATGTGGTGTTTCGTGTCGTTTCATGGTCCGCAACTCGATATTCTGCATAGCAGATGGAGTTGAACTTAATAACTGCATGATCACAACGACCTAACAGGCAGTCTACAACCAGCGCATCAATCATATGTTCTTCGTTGGTAAGCACAAGAGTAAGCACGGATGGCTTATTACCTGTACTGAACCGAGTAGGCGAAGTGACATGATTATAAATCGGAACACTGGTTACCAGCTCCTGCAGATCGGCTTTAAATTGTTCTCCGCGCCTTGCAGGGGTTTCTAAACAATGCACATTAAAATCACCCATGGTCAAGATTTGAGTGTATCTTCCTTTTGAAGTTCGCCGTAAATCAGTCGCAATTTCGTAGTCCGTTGCAGACGGAACGGGGGGACGGTAAACCAAGGCCATAAGGCAAGTGTCTCTGCCTTTTAACTGCAGGCGGCACTAAAGCAAATCATGATTTAGCAAATCTGAATCTTCCATGACCTCGCACCGTAAGTCGCTTCGGTAATACAGAGTTAAGCTCCTTCTTTTGTCAGTCTGTCGTTCCGAGTGAGTGTCAGGCCAGGTAGTGAAATTTTAGCGTCCATTATTTCAGTGTGTAACCAAGTCTCCGTGATTTCCATGACATCATATTTCTGGGAGTTGCCTATCTTTTAGTTCGGCCAGGTTATTGAAGTGGCATTGAGCATTCGTTTACAAATAGGTTAGTTTATCGGTCTCTAGTAGACCACTGGGTGTCAAGGAATTCGGGTAAAGGAGCAATCAGCCACGGTACGTCTGCTTTTTCAGGTGTTTTTCTAACCGGACGTTGCGATACATCTGCAGTCCTTAACCGAAGCTCCGAAGAAATGCTTTTCAGGTTTTTGCGCCAAGTACGTAACACCTTCATCGTTGTTTG